TTTAAGTATTGAAATTCATTGTCTTAGAAAAAGATTTTATTTTGTTACATGCATGAAGTACTTCGTATAAAGGAATTATTCTCCTATTTTTTCAGGCAACAATCTAATGTGTGACATCCCTGATATGACAATGGTCAAGATTATTATCCTATTTTTGTCAAATTTCTAATTTGAAATATAATTATTGTCATAGGTTCCATCATTAGAGTACAAAAATGAAGTTAGAGGTGAAAGCCTTGATTTGATGAAGGTTATTGTCAGTCACTTTAAAGGGCCGTCGTTATTCCTCGGTGTAAGCTTTGTAAGATAAATCCTTGCGTTTATTTGCATTTAGGTTTATATCTCTCTATTAGAGTGTATTTTATCATGGAGGATCCTAAATGTTTAGGTTTTAACTTTTTGCCGCCATTGTAAAAAGTTAAGGGGCCGTTTGGTTCGCTGGAATGGGGAAAGGGAATGAGAATGATTCCCTTTGTTAGTGTTTGTTTTCACAATTTTATCATTCCCATTCCTCCATTTTATTTTTGGGTTTACCCAAAAATCCCCAAAACCCATTCCCCACCCCCCTACTTTTTGCATTCCCATTCCCCTTCAACTCACGCCCCTTTCTCTCTCCTCTCAAGCCTCTTCACTGTCGTCGTCGTCTTCTTCTTCGCCTCTTCACCGTCGTCGTCGTCTTCGCCTCTCCACCGTCATCGTCTTCTTCGCCTCTCCACCGTCGACGTCGTCTACTCACGAATTCGAGCTTGTCTTCGCAACCGTCGTCGCCTTCTTCTTCTTCGCCTCTCCATTGTCGTCGCCGTCGTCTACTCACGAATTCGAGCTCGTCGTCGCAACCATCATCATCTTCTTCTTCATCGCCGAGGAGAGAGAAATAGGGTTAGAGTTGGTTTAAAGGATTTGGGGGAAATGGCGGTGGCAGCCATTGATTCAAGCTCAAGAAATTGGGGTTTTGCTTTTGCAATTAGGGATTGTGATCTTCTTCACCACCTTCATTACTACCAGTTGATTCAAACCTCCCACCACCGCCTTCATCACCGTCGACTTTCATGTCAGAGTAGTTTTCATTTTTTCTTTTTTTGAATTTATGTAATTTTGTGGATTTGTCTTGTTTTAAACTAATATTACTCTTTAATTTGTTCATAAATGCCTTCATGGTGATTGAATTTTCTATAGAATTTACCATTGTTGAAAGGTTTTTGCTATAGCACGAATGAATTTGTATGGAACGGTTTGATTCCCTAGTTTGAACCAAACTGTCTTAAAGGGAATCAGTCAGCATTTCATTCCGTTTCCTGGATACAACCAAACAACTAGGGCAAATCAGGTTAATCCATTCCTTTCTCCTTCATTCCCTTTCTGCATTCCATTCCGATTCCCCTATGCAAATCAAACGACCCCTAAAAGTTTTGGAAAATTCTATAACAAAACTAAATAAATAAATAAAAAAATAACAGACATTAGAACTAAATCACAAAACTTATGATATGTCAAATGTGCTTAAAAGATTTTAGAGGCTATCCTTTACCATGCTTGGCAAGTTTGAGAATTGAAAGAGATTAATCGGTTGCCTTTCTCATTGCTTAACCGTAAATATAAATACACAATTACAAGAGATAAACTAGGAAACTAACTAGCTATAAACTAGGCAAAGATATATACATTTACCAAACTAAATATATATATACAATATTAATGGAACATATTAGCATAAATTCTAACACTCCCCCGCAGTCGTAGCGGGAGGATAACGAACGCTAAGATTGGTACGAAAATCATCAAACAAGACCTGTGGAAGTCCCTTCGTAAAGATGTCTGCAATTTGATAACGGGAGGGAACATGTAATACTCGTACCTCGCCTTTCGCGACTTTCTCACGAACAAAATGAATGTCCATCTCAATGTGTTTGGTGCGTTGATGTTGCACGGGATTCCTAGAAAGGTAGATGGCACTCACGTTGTCACAGTAAACAAGAGTTGCTTTCTGAATACGAAATTGAAGCTCAAGTAATAAATTTTTGATCCAACATGAATCAGAAAACCACATTAGAAACCCCACAGTACTCAGCCTCTGCACTTGATGTTGATAATGTAGGCTGCAGTTTAGATGACCAGGAAATCAAATTATCACCAATAAATACACAATAACCTGAAGTAGATCGCCTGGTGTCGGGGCATCCCCCCCCCCCTCAGTTCGCATCATCGGTATAAGAGACAAGTCTATCAATGGAAGATTTATACAGATGCAAACCATAAGACAAAGTACCTTGTAGATAGCGTATAATACGCTTCAAGGCACCCATATGTGCATTGCGCGGATCGTGCATGTGAAGGCACACCTGTTGAACTGCATAAGAAATGTCAGGCCTGGTAAAAGTTAGTACTGTAGAGCACCTGCAAGACTCCTGTACTTTGTAGGGTCCTCATATGGAGCATCATGAGTGGCACTAAGCTTTGATTTTGTGTATATAGGTGTAGGACAAGAGCTACAGTTAAACATGCCAGCCTTGTCAATAATCGAAGCAGCATACTATTTCTAAGACAAGAACATACCGTTAGCATTGCAAGTCACACCAATGCCCAAAAAGAAGCTCAAAGGACCTAAGTCCTTCATAACAAACTTGGAACTCAAGAGGGCCATAAAATGTTTCCGGAACCAGTCAGAAGACGCTGTAAGAATGATATCATCAACATATAACATAATATAAGCAGTATTAGATCCTTGCTTGTAAATGAACAGAGATGTGTTAGATTTACTTTTAGCAAATCCAATAGAAGTAAAAAAATCTGCAAATCGCTGATACCAGGCCCGAGGAGCCTGTTTGATACCATAGAGGGATTTCCGCAATAGACACACATGATCAGGGCGACTCTTGTCGCGAAAACCCATAAGCTGATGCATATATGCACTATTTCATTGAGATAACTATGTAGGAAAGCATTCTTGACATCCAACTGATGGATTGGCCAAGAGCGAGATAGAGCAATGCTAAGAACAGTACGAATAGTTGCCGGTTTAACAACCGGACTAAAAGTCTCATCACAATCAATACCCTGCTGCTGAGTTTTGCCATCACCTACAAGACGGGCCTTATGCCTCTCAAAAGAACCATCAGGTTTTCGTTTATGTCGAAAAATCCACATAGAACGAATAACATTCACATTAGGAGGCCGTGGTACCAAATCCTATGTATGATTATCAATAAGAGCATTATATTCGTCTAACATTGCACTTTTCCATTTAGGGTCACGAATAGCACTAACTAGGTCCTTTGGGATAGGAGAAATGTGGGAAGTGGCTATGGTGTTTAGATTGTGAAAGTACTTGGGGTTACAAGTTGGGGAGTATGGTGATTGGTGGGCTGCTGGGAGCTCACGGGACTGTGACAGTACCAGTTGGGGGACGGACTGGGCTTGAGGGAGAGGAGGGCCCAAACGGGGGAAAGAAGTCAGTCCGCATTGGAGTGAGTGGGCTGGGCCGGATTGGTGGGAGTGCTATGCAAATGGGGAAGGTGATTAAATGGATTTGCATCCAAAAAATCATAAGCATCATAATTCGGTTTATGAACTTTAGAAAACGAAAATTCGTTTTCTATAAATTTCACATGCATACAAATGATGATTTTGTCATTAAATATATCATAACACTTAGAACCTCGATGACTTGGTGCGGGGCCAAGATAGACACAAGGAGTGGACCGTTCTTGCAATTTATAAATGGAAGAGGTGGGGAAAAGAGGAAAACATAGATTACCAAAGACGCATAATTCCGAATAAATCGGATCACGTTGATATAGAACTTGAGTCGGAGATTTAAAACCTAAGACTTTGATTGGAAGAATGTTTAATAGGTAAGTGGTCATTTCTAGAGCATGATGCCAAAAGGTATAAGGCAAAGAAGCATGATCAAGAAGGGTCCAAATGATATTATTTATTGATTTTATGTGCTGTTCAACTTTTCCATTTTGTGGAGATGTATGAGTAAAAGAAAGACGGAAGAGCATGCCATGGTTATTAAAGTATTCTTCAAGTGTACCATTAACATATTCGGTGCCATTATCACATTGAAAGGTCTTAATGTTACGCTCAAATTGAGTTTGGACTATCTTATGAAAAGATTGTAACAAGTGTTTGACTAGAAGTTTGTTGTAATCATCAAGAAATAAGAGATAATAACAATGACCAGAAGAACTAGGAATGGGGGAAGTCCAAAGATCACTATGGATAATATCAAAAGGAAAAGCAGTATGCGACATAGAATCATAAAATGGTAATTTAAACAAAAAGAACTACAAGCCTTATTACATTCAATAAATTTTTGACTACTTAAAGATCTAAGAACAACATCTCCAAGATGTCCTAAGCGATTATGCCAAAGATCGGATGAAAGAGCAGTAAAATTTGAATGTTTGACTGAAGTGTTGGTTTGAATGTTGGAAAAGATTGGATAGTGGTCACCAATACTGTCACATCTCATTAGTTTGGCCCCCGTCTGTAAACATTTCACAGTAAACCCAAAAGGATCAAATTCAATTGAAACCAAATTGTCCGTAGTGAATTTGCGGACTGAGATCAAGTTCTTTATTAATTTTGGAGCATGCAAAACATTGTTTAGAGTGAAGGGGGGTATGGGGAAGGCAAGATAGCACTACCATGACCAATAATTGGAATTAAATCACCATTACCAACAACAATGTTATTATTTTTAATGCTCGAATTTACATAGGAAGAAAGAATACCTTGATCCGCTGCCAGTGTCCATATAGTAATTTCCATCCGGCTTTCCCAAATTTGCAAGAGTGTGCATGGTAGCCTCTATATCCGTGGGAGACGGATTCATAGCACTGTAGGCTTGCGGGTGTTGGCCCAGGATTCCCGGCCCAGCTGACCGAGAGTTGGATGAAGGAGCAGCAGGTCTAGAGGCCCACGATGCTGCTAGATAAGGGCAAGGTGGGTCAAGTGTATTGGCCTTGCTGAAATTGCCAGTGCTGGCCATTAGACTAGCCTGATTGTCGTTGGGTTGGGCCGCTTGTAGTGCACCCTTTTCCAGAAGGCTTCGAATTTGCCTCCTTCTGTTTATTCCCCTTGGTGTGAGACCGTGATGCTGAGGAGTTAATAGAGGACTCCGAGTTTTGCTGGCTGCCGGATGTTGAGACAAGGGAGGTCGGCAAATGGCTGGTCGATCCACCCTCCTTAGCTAGGCGGTTCTTGATGGTCCGCTCAGCTAGTTTTATGCGTGATCTACAGCTCTCAAAAGTAGGCAATGGCTCTTGATTCTGAATAAAATCCACCGTCCCTGCATAAGCTTCCAGGAGTCCTGCGGTCATCTTAAGAATGAGGCGACTATTGGGAATCGGAGCATCAACATCGGCAAGACGATCGGCAAGCGATTTGATGTGATTGTAATAACCATCAATGGAAAAGAAATTTTCGAAGTCGAGGTCAGCAAGCTCTTGTTCGAGATGAGAGGCTCGGGAGGCTTTCTTGTCTTGAAACATGGACTCGAGACAAGCCCAAGCAGCCTGAGCGGTATCATCCTTGAGAAGGATAGCATTGAGAAGGTCGGTGGAAATAGTACCGTATATCCATTGTAGGACAACCGTATCTAATCGTTTCCACGTGGCAAGGTCAGCCGATTTAGAAGCTTCGTATGCTACCTTCTCCTTCTCCTCCGTAAGAGGAATAATGTGATTGTGAAGATCGTGAACCCTAACTTGCACTTTGAAAAGTGCAGCCGAAGAGTGGTACATACCATGGTCGGCATCCAACGTGATTGGGATTAGAGACTTCACGCTTGTGATGGCCAAGGATGGTTGGTACTTGGGTGTGTCGGCCATGGAGATAAATATGCAGCGGAATAAGAGAAGAAAGAAGATGAGGGCCAATTGTCAGGGAGAAAAAGAAACCAAGGATTGAAACCCTAATCTGATACCATGAAAGAGATTAATCGGTTGCCTTTCTCATTGCTTAACCGTGAATATTAATACAAATACACAATTACAAGAGATAAACTAGGAAACTAACTAGCTACAAACTAGGAAAAGATATATACATTTACCAAACTAAATATATACAATAGTAATAGAATATATTAGCATATATTCTAACAAGAATACTTCCTTGTAGACAATGTTTCTTGTATGCCTTTTGTATTTTTGGTAGGAATCATCAATGAAGAACTTTAGACCCTTGGGGGAAGTTGTTCTTGATGCTTCCACATAGAGTTGTCCATGACTAAACACGGGCTTTGGCAAGTAAACACCAATATATGAGAGCGATTGGCCCTGGCTCTTATTTATTGTCATGGCATAGCAAGGCTTTAATGGGTATTGTCTTCTTTTTAAGATGAAAGGTATTTTGGGGTCCGTAGATGCCATCACAATTCTGGGAATTAGGTATTTGTTTCCCTGTTTCGACCCTGTTATGATCCTTCCTTCAATTACAAACTTCCCTAGGTGGGTTATAACCAGTCTAGAATCGTTACACAACCCTTGTGGGGGGTTTATATTTCGAAGTAGCATGATCGGCTTCCTACCTTCAATTTAAGCTTGTGGTGTGGCAATCTTGGTAATTTTAAGCTGTTTAGATATTTAGTTGGTTATTCTAAGAATGTTGGTCACATTCAGTAGAAGATAAGCATACTTCATCACAACTTTTGTAGGTCCTTTCAACTTCGTGGTCCTCAGATTTTGTTTCAAGTCTTCCATCACCCATAGACAAAAGCCACTCATTGAAGCGTTTGTTTTTATAGTAGCTCTCGGTCTTGGCTTCCCCTTCTCGTACCCTCATGCTTTGCTTAAGAATCAACAATTTCCCCCTTTTTGATGATGACAGATTGAGCAAATTTCTAAGGATAACAAAGTAAAACAAAAGGCTCATAATCTTTATTTTTTCATTTAAAAAAAAAAGAACATAGAAAAACTAAGAAACAAACAAACACTCAAGCTTAAGTATGAAAAAAAATGAATAAACAGAACAAACAGAAAGCACATAAAGAATTTAGAGAAGAGAAACCTTTGTTACTTACTTAATTGGAACTAGAACATTTCACCTCCAAGTTTGCTCCTGTTTTTCCCCTTTTGGCATTATAAAAAAGATAACTTTTTAAAGTTTTATTCATCTAATCACAGCCCTACAAGCAATTTATCGAGTGTGGGAAACTGAAAGCAACGCTGGCTAGTTCTCTTAAGCCAGCACATTTACACATATTAACCAGTATTTTCTTAACCAGCAATGCATTCATATATAGACAAAGTTCCAGGATATATAAACATAGCAAAAACCAACCTTCTAGAGTTATCAAAATATTACAGACCAAGTTCGAAAGTACTAAAACAAAAATAAGTTCAAAAGTACCAAATTAAACATAACATTGTTCCATAAAACTAGGGCAGGGGATTAATTTAGGCTAGAGGATAAGTTACAGGGATTGGGAACTGATCAACATTCTTCAAGCATCTTGAGAATCTTCTCAAGATCTGCCTTGTTGTCTGCTTCCATCTTTTTCAGCTTCCCTTCCATGCTAAAAACAGCTTTCTGAAAATCCTTTCCTTGATTCAGAATGCTTCTCTCCATGGCTTTCATCTTCCATGTCATCTCCAAGTGTTGTCCTTCTACCTGCATGAATCTGTTTGACAGATCAGAAATTTGCTCATTAGCCCCCTCTTCTCCTTCATTGAGTTCCAAAGGCTCATTAGTGACTCTGGTTTTAATCTGAGTTCCAACTGAGAGTGTTCTACTCTTCCTGATAGACTCTCTCAGTTGGGAACTCTCCTCCTTTGCCTTTGCCTTTTTCCCTTCATACTTCACACACTTTCCTCTCACTACCTCAAGACTCAGTCCTTTAAGCGTTTATTCATTGATCACATTTTCTCCCTTCTCCCTCATATGACCATAATAATCCACAAGTTTTACACCTAGATCTTCAAGCACAGAAGCAAGGATTGCACCATATCCGACCTTTATCTCTTTTGTCACACATTGTTCTAGGTGTTACATCATCAAAGCAGGAAAGTTAATTTTAATTCTTTTTGACATGCAGAAATTTAAGTCCATGTCCAGATAGCACAATTCATTTTTCTTTTGCGTTCTAGGAACAAAGGATTTTTTCACAAGATTAAACAACAATTTGTGCAGGGGAGACAGGTCATTGTGATTCATAACGGTCACACCCTTCTTTCCTTCTAAATAAAAAATCACTTCTGTTTTAGCAGGACCTTCCACCTCACAGTTACTGCCCCCTTTCTCAAACCCCTCACGAGGAACTTGTAACAAAGTTCCAAGTCTTTCCTCATCAAATTCAACATATAATCCATTGACTTTACTAAGCTAGTACATACACCGCTATCAAATACACAATCAATACAAAATTTATCCATGGCCAACGGATATAAGTAATATTTTACTTTAACAGAAAACATGAATTCCCACCCCTGAAACTTATTAAGGTCTAGAAATTTTAGAAACTTAGCATTTTTACACCATGCAAGATTATTTCTATAGCCTACGACATACCTTCCAGCTTGTTTCTCCAGAGCCTTTTGATCTTCTTCCGTGTCTCCTTCGACTTCTTCCCTTAGAAAATGCTTCGATCTCTTCCAATTCCTGTTCAAGTGTCTTTCCTGCTTTCTCAGCCTTTCTTTTCTTCCATTTTGTGACTCGATTTAGGATATTTGGTAGATCTGCGGTTGAGGAAGTTGCAGTTTCTTCCAAGGGTTTTGGCTTGTTATTTTTTGGTTTTGAGGTGATCGAGTTTGGAATTTCATGGGTAATATTGGCTGGATCTAGAATTGACATATCAATTGGTTGTAGGCTTTGAGTTTTGGATGGGGAATATTCACTTTGGATCTTAGGGTTTTCTTCCGCCATGGTTGAGTGTGGTTTAGCTGTAGAATTTTTGTGGTTGTGGTTTTATTAAGAGTTGAGTTGATTTGACTGTGGGTAACAGAGGTGGTTGGGAGTTCTTTTATAGAGAGAGTATTTATGAGGCAGTGTAAGGGATATGAAGAGTTAGGCTTTGGGAAAAATGAATTTACCTAATTTCGAAAAAATATCCGGATGGATTTTCAAATTTAAACTTTATCTTCCTAACAATAAAACCTTTCTTCCAAGGGTTTTGGCTTGTTATTTTTTGGTTTTGAGGTGATCGAGTTTGGAATTTCATGGGTAATATTGGCTGGATCTAGAATTGACATATCAATTGGTTGTAGGCTTTGAGTTTTGGATGGGGAATATTCACTTTGGATCTTAGGGTTTTCTTCCGCCATGGTTGAGTGTGGTTTAGCTGTAGAATTTTTGTGGTTGTGGTTTTATTAAGAGTTGAGTTGATTTGACTGTGGGTAACAGAGGTGGTTGGGAGTTCTTTTATAGAGAGAGTATTTATGAGGCAGTGTAAGGGATATGAAGAGTTAGGCTTTGGGAAAAATGAATTTACCTAATTTCGAAAAAATATCCGGATGGATTTTCAAATTTAAACTTTATCTTCCTAACAATAAAACCTTTTTATTTTCTACAAGATAATTTTTGAAAAAATTTAAAACAAGATTATCCAGGAACAAGTCATATACATGTCTACATTAAGTTGAAAATTATGTACAGTTTAATAAGTGTTAATTGCACTAACCTCCAAAAACTTGCCAATGGTGTCATTCCCGCTATGTTTATCGTACCAAGTTTGTGATAGATGTTTTATTTCTTCTATAGGTCGTGTAATCAACAATGCCATATCTAGGAACTTCAGTTACAATCAATTCAGTTTGATCATCCCAAGTTCCAGTCTCATTTTCTCAAAGTTTTCTCTGCACAAAGGCTTAGTTAGAATATTAACAATTTGATTTTCCGTTGAACAAAATTCTAACTTAATATTGCCTTGTTCCACATTATCTTTAAGAAAATGATGTCTAATGTGGATATACTTAACCTTAGAGTGTTGAACTGGATCTTTAGATATACATATAGCCACTTGAATTATCACAATAAATTGGATCACACTCAAATTTAATGCCAAAATCACGTATTTGTTGCTTTATCCATATCATTTGTGAGCAACATGCAGCAGCAACTACATATTCAGATTCTGCTGTGGATAAGGCAATTGTGTTTTGCTTCTTGGAACCCCAAGAAACTAAACACGGACCAAGGAATTGAGTCATACTTGATGTGCTCTTTATGTTGACTAAATCACCTACATAGTCAGCGTCACTGTATCCTACTAAACCAATTGATTCACTTCTAGGATAGTAGAGGCATAAGTCATCAGTTCCTTTATAGGTATTGTAGTATTCTCTTGACTGCTTTTAGATGAGATTCCTTTGGATTTGCTTGGAACCTCGCACATAGCCCTACACTAAACGATATGTCAGGTCTAATAGCAGTTAAGTATTGTAAAGAACCTATTATACCTCGATACAGCGTCTGATCTATGTTGGTTCCAGTTGAGTCTTTGTCCAGTCTGATGGAAGTTCCCATAGGTGTTTGATTAGTTTTGGAATTTCTTCAAGAGTTCCTTTACATATTTTTGTTAGTGAATCATTATCCTTCTCTCGGTTTGCTTAATTTGCATACCAAGAAAGAAGTTCAGCTCACCCATCATGCTCATTTCGAACTCCCCACTCATAAGGTCAGAAAAATACTTGCATACAGTTTTGTTAGTCGCATCAAATATAATATCATCAATGTAAATTTGCACAACTAGAATATTAGTTCCTTTAGATTTCAAAAACAATGTTTTATCAATCTTTCCACGTTTAAAGTCATTATCTAACAAGATAATAATCAGCCTCCTGTACCATGCTCTAAGAGCTTGTTTTAGCCATATAGAGCTTTATTAAGCTTATAA